AAGTCCGGTGGATGATGGCGTCATTGATCTCAGTGCGGATGACGAGGGCATCCCTATGCGGCAGGGAGCCCGAGGGGAGGTCCGCATCTGTGAAGAAGATGGGATCCGCCCTCGGCCTTTTAGCAGGGGGCATGTGATTGACCTCCCCAATGTAGAGGGACTGTGCCCACTTCTTCCTCTGGCTCGTTGAATCGCCTCCGGTGTTACCGCCGTTGATCATATGAATATGGCGCTTGTATTGTTGATGGGAGCCCTCTCCCTCGTCGTCGAGGCCCCCAATTTCTCGCTTCTTCCCCTGTGGGTTTCCCAAGGGGATGGTGTTGGGGTTCACCCATTTGTTAGCCTTCGGTGGAGGCCCTTGATGATGAGGGGGGCCCTGGGGAGGAGGGCCCCTGATAAACTGAGATAAGTGGCCCGCCTGTATCAGCCTCTCAATCGCGTTCTTCAGCTGATGGCAGTCGTCGGTTTTGTGTCCATGGTGGCGGTGGAAGCGGCAGTAGGGCTCATCAGGACCGATGGCATAAATCTCGAGGGGAGTGCGGGAGTCTCGCTCAACGAGCCCCCGCTCTTCCGCATGATCGAGAATGACGCTGACGGGATGCGTCAAGGGAGTGCGTGGGTGCTCAAGGAGGACGGGTTGCGCCCATGCCTTCGGATTATTCTTGTAACCGCCCCCGGGTCTGGCTTGGCCACCTCGGGAGCGATCACTGTGATGGGGCTCTCGGTTGACCGGAGGGGGAGGCCCTCCGGGCCGATTCCTGCCCTCATTCTTCTGAGAAGGATCCGTGTTGCGGCGGTCCTTCTCGATTTCCTCTGCTTCGGCATAACGGTCCCCCCGCTGAAGGGCCTTCGTATAATCGCGGGGGGGATCAGTGATAAGACTCCGAGAGAAGTTACCGTTGCGGAGGACTGTGTGAAAGAGGGCCATCAGGGTCCTGTCATCAGCACCCTCGACCTCGAGGGAGGCCTGCCTCCAGCGCTCCAAGAAACTCCGAAGGGTTTCCTCCTTCTGTTGCCTCACGTTCAGAAGGTGGGAGAAGTGTTTCTTTGAGCGGTGCCTCCCGGCAAACTGCGTCAGGAAGCGGTGGGCAAGTTCTTGCCACGAATCAATGCTGCCTTCGGGCAACCGGTTGAACCACTCATACGCTGGTCCCTCCAAGGTGGAAAGGAACCAACGGCATAAGTATTCATCCGATGCCCCCATCATCATCATGCTGTTTTGATAACGGCTATAGTGCTCCTGGGGATCCGTCTTCCCCTCATATGGTTTGATAGGTTGCCCCCGATATTTGTGGGGGATTTTGGCCGCCAACACCCTTGGGGTGAAAGGCGTCCTAGTGCGGAGCTGAATGAGGGGCTCGCCTGAGCCTTCGGCAAGTTTACGTTTCATTTCCTCCACCTGTGCCCGGAGGTCCGCGTACTCCGGATCTGGCCTCGCTGTGGAAGCCGTCGGGGGTGCCTGACGATTCTCCTCGAGTTGACGGAGGAGGGCTTCAATGATTTCGTCCTTGGGGTCCTTTGGGGCAACCCCTTGGGAGTTGGCCCGGAAGGATTGCGCCTGATTGATCTGGTGCCTGGCGTCATCGGCATGGAGGAGGGCTTTGCCTTTGCTTCGTGGGGGAGGCACGCCCTCGGCGCCCGAAGCAGAGGCTCCACTCTCCTGGGGCCTGCTGAATGCCTGTTTCCCGAGGCGGTCTTGGACCCCTCGGTGCCCGGGAGCTCCCCCAAGCCTCTCAAGTACAGAGGTTCGGGGTTTCTCTTTCATCATGGGGCGCTTGTCCCTGGATTGGGCCTCTTGGGAGGCGGTATCCTGCGCCATGACCCCCTCGGCGTTTCCAATCCCCGGGGGAGGATTGTTGAACAGAGGGGGGAGCGGTGGCAATTGAATAACATTTCCTCCAGCGTAGGGCTGGAGGGGTGTCTGAGAGGCGAGGGCTCCGGAATTGAGAGCCATGTTTTGAACAAAGGCCGCAAAGGCAGCCTGAAGATCGATGGCCGGGGCCGGAGGGGGAACTTGGTTCTCACTCCGGTCCCTCCTTCGATTATCAAGGCCAATGCGGGCATCAGGGGCGTTCTTCTGTAGTTGCTGACGGAGGTCAGCAGTAGCCTGCTCCAACTCAAGGATGATACCACCCTCGGGTACCAAGAGCCTGTTGGAGGCCTCAGCCCCGATGGTTTCGCCGGGGGCTATGTGGTTCTCCTCAAGGGTTTTGGACTGGGCACGGGTGGTTCTTCCCATTTTTGGTAAGTGTCTTGTGTTTGGTAGAGGGGGAGGGTTTCTTACTTGATTGTTCTGACCTCTCAACGAGAGCACCAAATGATGGATAGTCTACCCGGGGGGTATCTTATCCGAAGGGTTATTGCGGAAATAACTAGAGAGAAGTCAGAGCAAATAGGAGGAGAGAGAGTCGATTTGATTAAATGAACTCTGCGTGTGTAATCGGGATGTCGATTATGTTTTACAAGGAGATATGGGCTGCTATTTATAGCAGCAATAAATGCGATGAGGGGACACGTGTCAGTAATCCAACGGCCGAAGGGTCACATCAGCCTGGTGGCACCGGCAGTGGTACGTTTACCGCATTGAATGCGGTTGGCGGATGTGACGTGGCATTAAATGCGGTGGTTGGCTGTCCCCAAAAGGAATCTTCGATGATTGAGCATGCTTGGCCGAAGGCTTCTTGCGTAGCCGAGGGCTCCGTGTAACCAAGGACCCCCGTGTACTCGAAGGCCCCGAGTGGCAGAGGGCTACGTTCACCGAAGGCTCCCCAAATGCCGAGGGCTTGGTAATGCCGAAGGCTCATGTTTTTCGCCGTTTTCTCCCAGTAGCTTCGTGTGTCAGAGAGGGCTACTTCGTGAGTTTCTGGAGCCTTCGGCCAGGGAGGCCGAAGGCACCCCGGTATGTATTCCGGGCTATTTTGGGGCCTGGGCCGTTGCTTTTGGGCCTGAGTTGTCCTCTGGGCTTATCGGGTATGTGTAGCAGAAGTAGGAGTCTATGGGCCGGGGGTTCCCGGGCCATATACTCCATCATCATTCTACTATTTTATGGATATATTCCTTTGTATCCCTTTTTATTATTTGTATTTACTATTTTTGTTATGAACAAAATTCATGATTATGTATTCAATGAATCCGAATGGATAAATATCTCAAATATAATTTGAGATAAAATCATGAGATGTCAAATCAATTTAAAATCTCCAACGAATATAATTTATACCAAACTTTAAGACTTAAATAAAAGTCTAATTTGAAGTAATAATGTCCATATTAATAAAGCTCATGAAAGAGTTAAAAAATGGATAAATTCAACAATTAGAGAAGGTTCTTATTCTCAACATAATGGACATTCATAAAACTGAATTTATATTTAGTCACTCATGCAATGAATTTCTTATTCTTCGGAGATTTTATGAGGATTAATACTAAAAATGTATTTTCAATTATATCCTAATAAGATTATCAAATCTGGCTCTCTTCTTCAATGATTTACTTCAAATTTATATTTTCAAATACCATTTTGGAAATTTCTTTGTCCAAATAGCTCTTAGGAGATTTCGTTGTCCCAAAAAAAATTAACCACACAAAAAGGACATGGCAAAGTATAACACTTAAAATAAAAATTAATGAGAGTCATGATTCATTTTATACTAGTTCATCTATATACAATAAAGAAAGATGAGTGAGGATGGGAGAGTCAATTTGTGATTTACTTTTCACAAAAAAAACGTGGATTTGTAGGTATATAATGTGTTTGATAAAGTATCTCATACCTTTGAGATCAAAGTGCATGTTTTATTATATCACACCCTCTACTTTGGGTGGGTGATACCCATGATGCTCTCTTTTGAGCCCCAATATTAAATTGGTTCTTTGGGAATTTCAGTGAAAGATATTTCCATGAGACCATGACGGTTGGAGTATGTAAATATGGCACCAAAGAAACAAGAAAACATCACTATTATCTTTTTCTTTTTAGACGGTGCATTGTCGTTTGGATTTACATGAACGAGCATCACACTGTTTTCGTTCATGGGAGTAGTCTCTACATAATCAACTAATAGATGATACTCAGATTCTTTTGAGCTCAGAATGTCAAACTCATATTGAGTTGGATCAGTCATTTTAAATAATAAGTATATTGTGATTACATGAATTTATATACTTGTATAGGGTATCGAAATTAAATTTGTAATTCAAAAATTTGCAACTCTTTGTATGAAAACTCTTCCACACAAAGAGGAATTGTTTGTTTTTGTCTAATTAAAGGCCATAAATTAAATTAATAAATAAAGTGTATCACGGTACGTTAGTAGACACTAGTATCTCACCCGTGCGATGCACGGATAGAAAAATTAAGCAAAACATTTAGTAAGAGTTTCATTATACATAAAAACATAGAATAAGAACATTGCAAAAAAATGTCAATTAAATACATAATGAAAAGTTTTACCCATATCATGAAAACATGTCATCGGAGTTGAAAATTATCTTCTCTAAAATTTGAAAAAAGTTTCAAGTCTGAAGGACGGAAGGAGTACATGATAAACCCGGGAATCAAGACCCCATTAACCCCTCAATATTTATATAACAATTTGTAGTTTTAAATAAATAAGAAGTTCTTCAAAACTGAGCATTCTTAAATAAGTGCAACGGTCAACATTTCACAATTGTCGAGGCACAACTTTGACCATTAATATATATAATTCTTTATTAATAAAAAATTTTTAAAAAATAAATTTTGAAAATTTACAATGGGACAAATTTAACAATATTTTTTTTCAAGAAAATATATTAACACATTATTTAATTAAACGTAGTCAAAGTAGAACATGTGAATAGTGTAAAATTCAACATGTTGCACTTATTTAAGAACGGAGGAAGTACGTAGTATTTGTTGTTAACTTATTAATGGAGTACTAAAGATAATATGAGTATTTGTTTAAAAATGTCGAGTCAGATGAATCTGAAATCAAAAGTAGTGATGATGAAAAGTGAAAAGAGTATCTAACTTAAGAAATTAACCTAAGCACATTTGGCCCAAATACGAAACACATATGCAGTTATAACGTGTATCTCCCCAATCCCCACATTTGGCACATTTACTCCTTATTATTATATTCAGAATATACCCACTTTTTAGCAAGAGTATTGAGCACTTGAGCAGCCCTTGTGATGTCTGCCATTTTTTTTGTAATTGACATTTAAAAATTACAGTTGTAACAGGCTCAAAATAATCTAGCCGGACGTAGATACCGTAAGTCCAAAACCCGGAAAAACATGTCTTCTTCTTCATGAAGTCCGCAAGTCTTATACCGTAATTAATGTTGGAGAAATTCGTCGGAACCTGCAAAACAATGTTAGAAAAATAAAACAGCCCGAGACGCGCTAGTCGCTGTCCTAAAGAAAGTATTTCCGGTGGCCGGAAATCTTCCCCCAAGATATAACGGGCTCTTCGGCTAATTCGCCGGACACAAAAACTACGAGGAGAAAAGAATTTTTATAACCCAGCAGTTTGGTAGTATATTGGTATGTGTAATATGTTTCAAAAGAGTGGATGTACGTTTTTTTCCACACCCATGAAAAGTATCTCCGGCCATATTTATAGACATACGTCCAAGTTTTCAAAACAAAGAAAAATTATCAGTTGGAGTTTTTCATCCTCGAGCGTAGGAGATATATGCGGTCATCCAAGCAACGTGCCCACGATTCCATCTTACTCGTTCAATGCGGAGGTATTCAAAAATACATCCGTAGAAAACTTCAACATATTATCTGGACTGAAATATTAACTCAATCAATTATAATAAAATGGAAAAAGTAAAACTATCACTTAGTCCAGGCCAGTTGTCCGTATAAGCAACTAAAGTAAGCCACGTACCAATGGTTCATTTATCATGACAAAAAGGATTTATCAAATATAGAGTATAAACCATTTTAAACTAACCGTGTACACTAAATTAATAATATAATATATTTATTTGAAATAATAAATAATTTCCAACAATCCCCCACATATTTCAAATAAATATTTAAGGTTAAAATAATTTTGAAAATCTGCTGGGTTAACGGGAACGAGACTTTAAGTCTGGTGTCCGAAGACTATGAACCAAACCGAGACGATTAAGTCTTTACAAACCGAGCTTCTGGTGAAACATATAGTTTCTATGAACCAGTAAGCTACTATGGTAAGTCAGGGTCTTAATGGCCATGTCTCACCCCCACAATTCCTCGCGTTACCGCCGTGGTGCGCCTTTCGGCCGTGCGCGTGCTTGGTATTCTTGAGTGCTCTAGAAGCGTTGTCATGCTTCATGGAAGCGGCCCCACCTCACACTCATATAGGTGACCTCATCAAGTGTGTTCTGCACTTAACACACCAGCCATAAAGCTATGAAAATCATTAAGAGTTTTAGCTCAGCCTCACAGCGAATGCAGTCTAGCCTCACCCTAGAAATGGACATAATAGGCTAGCAGGAACAAATAGAAGACTTGTTATTACCCATATGAACCTGCTTCATGGGATCTCCAATCACACAGGTTGGGTTACCATCCCTATTTGTTAACAGGTGACAGTCCATTTCCCTCGGTGTATAAAATATAGTATCCTAGGATTTCGGCCAAAGGAGATTTTTTTTTTTTTTTTTTTACTCCACTTGTCATAGTTATATGACAACTTCATATTTCATATGATATCGTTGTAGTCGACATTCAACAATATCATCTAAGAATTATATCATCATTGCATTACTTTAATACAATGGGTTAGCTCACCAAATACACTTTTGTGTTTCTATATGCTGCTCAATCTTCCGACATTAAGTCGGGTATCACACATATAATTTGTTCGTTTTAACAAATTCACCATTTGAGCATCATCAATATAAGACTAAAATATTGTTGTCTTATATTCCACCGAAATATTTACAAAACTATCAACCTGGTAATAGCACGCATAAATAATTGCACACGCTATTTTCCGTTATCCACCACATACATGCAAATTAATTTTACAAATATTTGTTTGCATATCCATCCCACAGATGACAGATGCCACCTAATCTAATATTAAATCACAGAAGAAACTTACGCAGCACTATTTGGAGCAAAACTGAAATAATCAAGTACCCCCACATTTCTGAAAATTTTAATCGGTGAAAAAACTATTCCAAAACGATAAGGCATATATATACTTTTTGAAACTGAACAGGACATACGTGCAACAAAACACTTCAAAAGTATGTAAATCAAATTCCTGTAGACAAGTGCGGATAGCATGCTTAAGAAATTAATCTAAACATTAGAAATTTGAATTCGCAACAAACTTTCAGTATATCACATCAAATTGCTATTTCATACCAAATACGTAAGTAAAAAAATGGATCAGGTCATCCAAAATTTCTTTCAAAGGTAGAATAAATATACGAATGGTATAAATATACGAATGTACCATGCATTTATAATATTCAAAGAATGGCACAACACATATTATAAAACTTGACATCGTAGGACTATGAATGAATAAAACTATCACAAGCCATTAAAAAAAACAATTATTCCGAATTTATTCAAATGAAATTTCGTACGTACTAATATAATAAAACAATATTCAGCAAATCAAATAGAAAACAAATGTAGCTCACTACTTATTAATCAACAACTAGAAAACTAGAAAACAGATTACTTTAATACTTCAGACACATTCAACATGAAAAGCCCTTGATTACAATAACCTCTTCCAATAAATATATTATTCTTAGTGAGAACCACCTTGTCGGATTCAAAGGATGCCTTGACACCAGCTCTTCCCAAGAGTGAAACGGAGATTAAATTCGTCCGTATCTCGGGCACATGAAGTACGTCGGTGAGTGATAATGTCTTGCCGGATGTGAGTTTGATATTAACTTTGCCCTTTCCGTGCACCTGGGTAGTTCTAGAATCCCCAAGATGTACGTACTCCTCTTCATCCCCTATTGGTGTATAGGAGGAAAACACACTTTTGTCTTGGCAAATATGCCTGGTAGCTCCCGAGTCTACAACCCACTCCTTCACATCCGCCACCAGGCACGTTTGTGAGACAACCACAGTTATAATTTCATCACCCTCAACCAAGTTTGCACTTGGTTTGGGTGGTTTTTTGTTGTTCACAAACGCCCTTTTTCGACACTTACTAGCAATGTGCCCCGGTTTTCCACAAACATAACATTCCTTTCTTTTAAAATGTGTGGTTTGTTTATATTTATTGTAATTGGGCTTATTAGTAGAATGATTATTTCCATACCTCCCTTTGTCCTCCGTCTCCACCAAGTTTGCATTTGATGTATATTCCTTTGCTTGACTCTTGACATTTTCCTTCCGATTTGTGTCTTCAATGATGATGTGGGTAATCACATCATTGAAAGACATAAGTCCAAAGTCGTGTTTGAGGTCTCGTCTATAGTCCCTCCAGGACTCCGGCAACTTTTCAATGAGAATCCCGGCAACGAATGGCTCCGGCAGTTCTATCTGGACGCTCTTAAGGTCCTCCAACAACGTCTGGTACTCGTGAATTTGCGCCTTGATGTCTCTGTCCTCCTTCATTTCCCACTTGTAATAGTTTCCTATTACAAATTTCTGCTTGACGGTGTCCTCAGCCGTGTACTTGGCTATCATAGAACTCCAAATTTCCTTCGCTTCCTTTTTCGTGCAATAAACATCAAACAATTCATTAGATAAAGTGCTAAGAATTGTATGACGGCAAACCTTGTTTGCGTGGGTCCACTGTTGAAGGAGCTTGATGCCTTCGGGTGAGTTGTCTTTGGCCGGCATGGATTGGGTAAGAACGTCGGCAACGCCATGCACGTCGAGTGTTGAGAATAGGCGTTCTTGCCATCTCTTGAAATTGGCTCCTGAAAATACTTCTATTTTAGAAATATCGGGAAAAGGTTTTGCATGGATAGGCTGGACCTCAAATTGCATGTTAACATGCGAGTCGGCATTGTTTGCAGCTCCTTTTCCGTTGGGGGTGTCCGGAACTGAGATTATTTGAGTAGGTGTATCCGACGCCATAGTAATACTTTCTTTAGATTGTTGGAGAAATTCGTCGGAACCTGCAAAACAATGTTAGAAAAATAAAACAGCCCGAGACGCGCTAGTCGCTGTCCTAAAGAAAGTATTTCCGGTGGCCGGAAATCTTCCCCCAAGATATAACGGGCTCTTCGGCTAATTCGCCGGACACAAAAACTACGAGGAGAAAAGAATTTTTATAACCCAGCAGTTTGGTAGTATATTGGTATGTGTAATATGTTTCAAAAGAGTGGATGTACGTTTTTTTCCACACCCATGAAAAGTATCTCCGGCCATATTTATAGACATACGTCCAAGTTTTCAAAACAAAGAAAAATTATCAGTTGGAGTTTTTCATCCTCGAGCGTAGGAGATATATGCGGTCATCCAAGCAACGTGCCCACGATTCCATCTTACTCGTTCAATGCGGAGGTATTCAAAAATACATCCGTAGAAAACTTCAACATATTATCTGGACTGAAATATTAACTCAATCAATTATAATAAAATGGAAAAAGTAAAACTATCACTTAGTCCAGGCCAGTTGTCCGTATAAGCAACTAAAGTAAGCCACGTACCAATGGTTCATTTATCATGACAAAAAGGATTTATCAAATATAGAGTATAAACCATTTTAAACTAACCGTGTACACTAAATTAATAATATAATATATTTATTTGAAATAATAAATAATTTCCAACAATTAAAGCCCAGAGACACAAAGGCCACCAGTCTGCCAAACAGCCCGCTTACTCTCCCAGGCGGCCAAGCTGAATTGCAGGCCGAGTCAACGGCGGCGCCCACGACCCAAGACTCCTGCTCCGGCCACTCGTGTGCTACCCTCTGCCGGCCTCTCTGATCTCATGCTATCCTGCTCCATAGCCACAGGCCCTCCCCTGCTAACCCATCTACTTGCCCAGGCTCAACCGCTCATCAACTGAACTACTGATCGCCTGCTCCCCTACTCCACAGCCCATAGCTGCAGCAACCATGGCGCTGGATCCAGCCACCACAGCCCCTCACCGTCTCCCCCCCCCAAAACTCCCCAACGGCAACTCAAGCTTAACTCAGACAACCATCTCCACGTACGCTTCACCACATCCAACCGCCACCAGTGGCCCAAACACAAAAACAACCACATGCATTCCGCGCACAATGCACTCTTTTGCAGAAGGCCTCACACAAAACACCTCCATCCCCCTCAAAAACCCCTCCCGTTTCAAAGGTCTACCATCAGTTTCCTTCTCAAAAGAAGAAATTCATAAACTGTCCAGCAAGCTTTCTTACGCAGTAATAGAAATTTTTCTGCTTGGACCACGACTCTAGGTGCTGTCAGAACAGCCTTTGAAAATACGAAGTACTCCGTATTGATTTCAAAGGAATTTTGTGTAGGCCTCCTAGCTCCCTAGAATGTCAGTCCTTTGAATGCTGCAGTACACTATTCCCCAGACTAATCAGTTTGCATGAGTGATCCCCATTCAACCGAGAGATGATTAACATCGGATAGAAAGCATAGTTTTAACCTCCAGATAATTGTGTGGCTTGGCCCACCTCTCCCTCTATTTGATGTGACTCTTTTGAGCGGGAAAACCACCTGGTTTTCCACCTCTTTTTATATAGAGATAGATACGATAGTATATAATACTCGTATTACTATTAATAAAAAACTGAATTGAAGGGCAGAAAAAGACATACGAGTTCTCATCAGAAAAGAAATTACTTATATGGCCAACTAGAACTGTAAAATAGAATGAAACTTAAAAAAGACTAGGCATATATACACTAAAAAAAAATGAATTGGAAATTCATTAGCAGTTTAGCACATCAGTGAACATACACACTTACGGTCTATATAAAAAAAAAGTGTGAAACTGTGAATGCCTACATTCCAGGCCACGTTTGTTTATTTTTAATATCTTTTCAAAGTAGTTCACTGTCAATATCATCATAGTTGAAAATGAAAATTTAAATTATACGTAGAATTCAAGTATCAGAAGCATAGACCCCATTCTGAATTGGTGTGTTGATACGTGATTAACAAATACTCATAAATAATAGGAGTACGGAGTGTAAATGAATTCATTGTATTAAGTCCATTGAATACCTGAATTGGTGGGGCCCTCCACGTTCTTCTGCCCTCTGCTTGCAATAGCCACGTGCAAACAAAACGCTGGCGTCCTTCCATCAGCTGTCATGGGCCAAGCGTTTCGTCGAGTGAACTTCATCTAAATTACACTTTTGGGTCCTATGTTCTCTTCGTGTAACGTCGGTGGCGAGCTGCCAGCGCCGATAATGGGCCGCAGACCAGCGGTGGCGGCCGGCGAGCTAGAAACATTAGTGGCTAGTGATTGTCTTTAGCACTAGATCCGGCAGGTGTCGGGCTTCATCGGCGGGATCCGACCAGCGGCAGCGAGAGACTGAGTGGGGCGGCCGATTGAGGGGCGGCTATTGCCTTGAGCACCAAATGCATATCTGGTCGGTCCATTCTAGGCAAAGAGAAGAAGAAACGTCAGGCTGGAGAAAAAAATGTCGACTTTCAGCCACAGATCCGGAGGGTGGCGGAACCCAGTAATTGAAGCTGGTGGCAGTAAGCACGGCTTTGGCGGTGAAGCCTTGTGCGGGTGAGAAAGATGGGGTTCTTTTGCCTCTAGCTTCACAAAATGGAGGATGGTAAGGATTTCTGAATCACAACCGATAAGGCCGGCGGTACCGGGTAAAACAACATATGACACTGATGAAGAGAGGATGCCGATGGAAGAACTGGTTTGTCCATCCATGGAAAAGAATGGTCTATTCTAAAGGTGGCGGCAGGACGGCATTAGCATCGGAGAAAGGAAAAGAAAAGTGATTAGGGTTTTCGGGTTAGAGTCGTGCTGATAACGTGTTTTAGGGAGAATTGTTCGTAGAGTTTCATTACCGAATGCCCCTATAAATAGGGATAGAGGGGTTTACAAGTACGGGCCAATAGGCCCAGATTACATAGAAATGACCCTAATACATATTCTATATAAACGATAGCACACTACATAGAATTTCCTTCAACATACAAGACATTATTTGATTTTTTATGCAATGGCCTAGTCTGACTTATGCTTTTGGCTAAGCAGCTGCTCGTCCAGTTCCATTTTAAATGGTACCTGATTTGGGATAAAATATACTTCCTCTGTTCTTAAATAAGTGCAACAGTCAACATTTCACATTTGTCGATACACAATTTTGACCATTAATATATATAATTATCTATTAGTAAAAATTTAAAAAAATCAGTTTTTGAAAATTTACAATGAGACAAATTTAATAATGTATTTTTCAAAAAAATATATCAATACATCAATAAATAAAATGTAGTCAAAGTAGATCATGTGAATAGTGTAAAATTTCACATGTTGCACTTATTTAAGAACGGAGGTAGTATAGAACCTTATAAAAACTGTTATTAATTCATAACCATTATAGATCGATTGAGTACGGGTTCTATTCGGTTTTTATGTCTATCCTTATTACACCGGAATTGACTCAGTCGTCTGAATATATATGATAAAATTGACGAAGTGCTGGCCGAGACAGTTGAATAACTTGAATCTACTGATTTGTACAAAAATTATACGGAGTATTCAAATGCAAAATTGTTGAATTCCCACACCGGAAACGTGTGAAGGAACTAAATGCTATATTAAGATCCGAGCTATTCCTCCTAAAAAATTGACCTTTTAGGATGGACTTCGGATCTTAACATGGTATCAGAGCCAAATCGATCCATGGTGTGGGCCCCCTTATGAAAATTGATGACACGATTATAAGAAAAATGACATTGACGAACCGATGAAAAAATGAATGACTACACGATTCAGACGAAGTGTTTGGTCGTGCGGAGGGGTATTGAATTCCCACACCGGAAACGTATGAAGGAACTAAATGCTATACTAGTATTAAGATCCGGACTCCTCCTCCTAAAAGATTGACCTTTTAGGATGAAACCCTGTGTCTTAACTAAAATCTAATTTAATGATTTTGGAGGCCTCAATTCTAAATGTAAAACTCAAATTCCACAATAAGATAAGAAAATAAAAAAATCACAAACTAAACTCCTTATTAAAATCAATTTCCACCGGTAGCTCACGTCACGAGGATAATATGATGCATGCTCTTAACGTATACCAAAATCGGCAGGAATATCCGCCAGTAAATATCGATATATCAATAAGGGTCATAAATGAGAACATATACATTATTATTGGGAAAAAAACATTGTCGTACACACAAATATATCAGCTCTTTGAAGTATCTACAGTATCCCTTTATACGTAGGTTGGAAGCGACCTATAATGCTTAAATTCTGCCGTATTACATGCATCTAATTTATTATCCGATACGTGTGGTCCAGCAAATATCAAATCCTGCCTAACTTAAACATTTACATATTATATACGATTATCAAATCTTGTCTAACATAATACCACGAAATTTCGACCATAGCCTTGCAAAAAAACACATCACCCGCTGCGATAAATGATCTTAATCTTCCACCTAAAGTCTGTCCACGGTTTTCAATCAAATTCTAATCAGAACCGGAAGTCGGAACTGTCAATATTGGAATCCCAATTATTTTAGAGGTGCGATAGATGCTTGACATCATGTTCACTTTTATACGGACTTCGCAATATTTATTACTATCTCCGTGCTAAAAAGATTGACCAATTTGACTTTTTTTTGTCAATGGTGTTAAAGTTTAGACAATGATTTTAGGTATTATATTTATGTGTAATTTATAAATTTTATACTTTTGTGTAAGATCTTTTGATAAAGAATAAGCTCATATAATTTTCATATTTCAAATAATTTTGTATTAAAAAATATTATTGATCAAAGTTGATAATCGTTGACCAAGAAAAGTCAAATTGGCCAACCTTTTTGGGACGGAGGGAGTATGTAGTACTAACTCGGTCCCTAATAAAACTTCCAAATGGGTTGGGCACACAGTTTAAGATAATGGGTATTGTTTGGTGAAGAGTTGTGCAGATGAGAGAAAAATGTGTAAGAAATGTTGTGAACCACAAATTCTTTACCAAAAAGGAAAATGAAAGTTTTAATTGGGACGGACAAAAAGGAAAGTTGGAAATTTATTTAGGGACGGAGGGAGTAGTAGTTAGACGTTATGTATCAAGATTTCAAAAGATGTACGTAGTACATATAACTTGTAGATTGTCTAATTTTTGTACTTTAAACATTATAAAACTTATATTTCACTGAACTATCTAGTCTATTTGTATTTTAATATTAATTTTTGTAATTTTTCATTGTTTTAGGGGCCTCAATTCGCCTTTAGGAATCGGAGTCTCCAAATTCATTACATTGCCTTGCTAAAATTGCAAAATAGCTAGTTCCAATTGAAATCAGACGTCCACTAGTTTGGTTCAGTGTTGGTCCGCAACCAATTTTTTAATTTATTAATTAACTAATTAAAATAATTATTTAATTAATAGTGTATTACTCCGTATAATAATACTAATGGTAATAAGTATAGAAATACTACTTTTTTTAAGAGAAAGTATACTAATACTACTATTAATAGCAATAATAATTTTAGTAATTGTTGTTGTACTAACAATACAAATACCGAGTAACCATTATAGAGTATTACAGAGTAGTTACTAGCTACTATCTCTAGGAGTGTATTCCGTTCTTTCGGTTTGGTTTTGATCTAAAACCAATCGGAATCAAGTTAAAAATTTCGGTTCAGTTTTACACCAAAACTTGGAACCCCAATTTGACTTTCGATTTTCGGGTCATATCACATCAGACTAAATCAAACTTGACATGAAAATCTCATTCCAATTTAAAACATCCTCAAATTTTCAAACCGCACATATATACTCTATAGAATCAATCAATCAATGTTTTTGACGTAAACTAGCTAGTTAGACCATTTGTAGTGGTAAGGTATTAGGAGTCTAAAATGCTAAAAGTAGAGATTTTAGACTCCTAATTTCTTACATTGGAGAACATTATAGGAGGCTAAAAATGGAGATGGGGAGGGAGGAGTCCAATTTTAGCCGGCCGATTGACTTTGGTGAAAGTGCTACTTTGCCAAAAAGAAAAGAATCATGAGTGGTGGGTAGTTAGTGGGCTCCATAAAATAAAACTCCATCTTTCTTAAAATGGTTATAATTTGTTTTTTTTCACAAATATGTAAATTTGTTTTTTCTTAAAAAATATATCAAAATTCATAATTTTTTATACTCTTTCATATGACACCAATATGTAATACAAAAAATGAAAAAAAATCTGAAATTTTAACTGTTGAAATTTTCATGAGCCCAAAAAAAATACAAAACACAATTTTTTAATTCATGTAGCTTTCACAAATAACTTAATATTCCGTAATCGAACTTTACTTGAACTAAGTTCATTTTTTGTTAACCGAAAAATGTTAAAAGAAATTTAATGAAACTTATTATTTTTACATCGAAATGTGTATTTTTACTTCGAAATTATTCAGGGATTAAATTAAAAAGAAAAATATTACTTATAATAATTTAAATAATGTTTTACTAAATTGATATGTAAAAAAATGTGCAGGGTGAATTTTATTGACGGTGCTGGAATGCAGAGAAATAGGAATCAAAACACTGTTTTCATATGAACGGAGTCCATTTTTGACATTTTGACTCTCACACCACTCCAAATGGTCTTATAACCTTGATGGTGTGGTCCGTGTGGAATGTGTTACCGTCGACGAGTGTAAAGTGCATGCTAAGCTATTTTAACAAATACGGAGTAAGAAATGGGGAGAGAATTGGGTCGTATCCACGACTGGGGTTCGAGAGGTTACCATCTTTTTTTTTAGAAAGATAATAGGACTAAATAATAGGATAATTGCAACAATGGGAGTTTAAAGTTTAAATTTTCAAAATAGGATCTATTCTACCGTTACCAGTGGCGTATCCAGAAACTTTGGGGAGTGGGGGCAAACTTGACTACAATTTAGTCTCATATTTCACAAATAACAAATCACATTATTAATATTGTTTAATTAAATTTAGTTTATAATATCTATGTACAAGTATGAATAAAAAGAAGATTAATTTATATTACGGGTGTGTAAAGATGTAATTGCTGATAAAATGTAATAAATTTACCTAAATATAAGTTGAATAGCCTTTAACATAACAAAATTTAGTGATTTTTTTAGCCTTTCATTCTTTTAATATTAAAGAAAACACTTCTAATCCTATTTTATATTTTTTTTCTACATTTAACTCTTAATTTGAGCAATTTCTTGTAAAAATTTGGGCATATATAGGGGGGTTGGGGTTGAGTGGGGGCAGCTGCCGCCGCTGCCCCCATAGTGGATACGCCACTGACCCTTACCTATTATACCCTTTCCATTGTCATTCTTTTTTCTTTCTTTTTTTATTACTCGGGAGGGGGAGGGGGGTCTGTGGGAGGGTGGCTGGGGGCCTGGAGTAATTGAGGCTGAAACTCACTCCATTATTGAGTTTTGAACCCTTATGTGTCTAGCGGGTTTCGAACTCGAGACCTCCCACTATACACGGTAAATAAAAACTAAATCATAAATAAAAATATGCAGACCTCAACCACCACCTCAGTCACCTTTGAGCACCGCCACCTCCGGTCGTAGGAAAAGATTTTCAAGTTGGGGAAACATTGTCACCGTGATGACAATTTTTAAAAGGAACCTGGATATTTCAAAGAGTAAAAATGTCATCTTCATGACATTTTTAAGAGAAACGTGGCATTTTTTTTACAAACGATGGCACTTGTTTCCGTCGACCGGAGCTGGTGGTGCTGGTAGGTGGATGACGCGGTGGCAGTGGCCTACATATTTTGTAAATATTTTTTTTTAGGTATTTTTAAAGTTTTAAAGTTTTTGTAGATTTTTTAAAGTTTTTAAATATTTTTTTCACATTTTTATTATTAATTTATAAATATTTTATTATTTTATTTTGGATTATTAGCTAAATATATTCCAAATTATCATCAAATTCACAAACTTATCCTATACTTTCACTTTTAATTAAAAAAGACTCAAACTTCAATTTTTCACACAATTACATTTTCAATGGATGAATTAGTAAAAACTATGAAGAAAATCATATTTATATTTCACATTTTTTCATTTCTTTCTAGTTTTAAGTTTACAAACTTGTATTGCTTATATCTTATTGGTGAGTGCTC